CAATCCTGAACTCATCTGAGAACCTATTCACAGGTAATCAAAAACGCCATGTAGCCTCAACAATCAAAGCTCAAGAAATTACTCGCTCCATTTTCTCGATCCACTGAGACTGGTTACTGTCCTTTTGAGAGTTCTTACAAAAGAAATCTATGGACAGAGTATTGATCACTGGAGGTGTGGTAAATGGAGGTTCTGACAAGAGGCTCCGAACACCTGTTCATGTTGATGGGGGAAAAGTGGCTTTCTATCAAACGGTACGTGGCAAAACAAGAGGCTTGATGAAACCACGGTTAGCATTAATAAAAGCTTGGCTGCACAGACCTTCATGAGAAACATGATCTGGTAGATGAAACGGCAATATGGGTGCAGATTAAAATGAGACAGATGCTAAGTTTAGATGCTAGGTTAATGACATGCTGAGAGGTAATGAAAAAGTTAAGAATTCATTAAACAGTTGGACCACATTTGCTTGTATATCAGAGCAAAAATCTGCATCTTATGATGCATTCAAGTCAGGTCAAAAAGATTGTATTTACAAGTTGAACAACGTGTGGAAACAAGTTGATTACTGGTTGATTATGTGTGGAAAACTCTCAACTTTGAGAATACATGGATGCAGCACCTATAGACCTTATGTAGCTCCGCCCCTTTTCATTGCTGTGCTCGTTGTTCTCTATCTTCTGCTTGCATTTTCATAGTGTGAAGGTATAAGGTCGTATGAATTTATGAATGAACCGCTTGTTTTAAAATTTTTCATTGATCAGTTGCTCTCTGAATATTTAAAAGAATAGTTCACCTGAAATGACATGAGTTTGAATAAAGGACAGATTATTATAATTTATTTATTTTATTTATTTATTTATTTAGCAAATTGTTCCTTTAAAATAAGTCTATGTAATTTTTCAACAAAAAAAGTTGGTGTACATTTTTACTGATATAGTCAGTTATTCATGAAATAACGATCGAAAGTTTGGGAACAGCATAATGGCACACATCCAGATGCACAGTGTAGAAGAGCACGCTCGTGTTCCACTGTGATGAATGGTGGCCTGGGCAAGGCAAGACACACTAGGGTTAGTTTTATCATAAGCAGTAAAGTGGTCCTACAAATATCCCATTGCTTCCACTGTAACTGATAACATCCTATATAGTTAGGAAGATAAATGCTGTATTGCAAAGAGTCACATGTTTTGTTCATTCTTTCCATCGTCCATTCCAGATTTCATTTCTACTTCTCCTCTGCTAGTTGACTGAACTGTAATTTCGAGCTCAGTATATCATCTGCATTTGCCGGGGACGGCTTTGACAGTCTGTAAACCCAGCACGCCAGGCTCCTTACTGAGGCAAGACTTTCGATGTCTTTGTGGGCAATTAAAATATTGCATGCACATATTAGCAACATGGTAAAAAAAATCACTCTGAAATGTTTGAATTTATCAAAGTCTCCATTCTGTATAGTAATGAATACTATTGGAAATCATCTACATTTGATATTAAAAGAATAGTTCTGTCATGACAACTCTCGGAGGGATTGGCATGGTAATGTACATGACAATGTTAATGTATTTGGTATTGGCGGAATAGATCTGCTACGCTGCTACTGCGGCAGAGCAAGTACAGAGACTTGCTACTGCCAATACTAGTTTGTTTCTTCAACAGAACAAATTTGGAGAAATTTTGCTTCTGTCTAAACAGAAAAAGAGTCACAAAAATCCACAGGTAACCAACACGACTCCAGTCCATCGTCCTGTGAAGTGAAAAGCTGCATGTGTGTAACAAACCAATTGGACCCACTTTATATTAAGTGGCCTTAACAACTATGTACTTACATTTAAATGAATAATTTGGTACAATGCACTTATTGTGTACATACATGTTTTTACATTGTACTTATATTTAAAAAATACCTGCATGTAATTACATCTGTAATTAATTTCTGTAATTACATTTATAATTACACAGTTGACCCATCCCTTACACCTTAACCCACCCTTAAACCTACCCATACCAACAAACCTGTCCCTAACCTTACCCATATCCCACCTCAATAGCAGCAAAAGTGTTTTGCAATACAATATGAACACAATAAGTACATTGTACTTAATTTTTGATGTAAGTACATAGTAATTAAGGCCACTTAATATAAAGTGGGGCCAACCAATTTTTAAACTTTAAACTCAAAATTTTTAACTTTAAACCGTTGCTTCTAGTTAAATTTGTGCTTTCTCCTGTAAAATGGTCTGAGGGTGAGTAGCATTTTGCTTTTTGGTATTTTTGTTTGACATTCTCTGATTCTGGTGTCTCAAATTCTAAGCATCTATTAATTACTTATATCCTGTATACGTTACTTATAAACCCATTTTGCATGCCTTATTTGTATATGATTAATTGTGAGCCCATAAGCCTTATTTTGGCATCCATATCTAATGGATCGAATCTTTATCATGCAGACTGTTAAAGGAGAAAGATGTATGTTTCCAAAAGGGACATACATCTTGGTCATGTAAACACAATTGATAAAATAATAATAAAAAACTATGAACTGCTTGTTCAGTTTATTTGCATGTTCGACTATCATACACATTCATAAGTCTCTCTGTACTGTAACACACAAACATATGCTTTATACACATCCACAGTGTTTATCATAAACACACAGCAAGCTCCATCAATGACCTAGGGCACAAAGATTAAAGTAGCTCATGTGATGAAAAGAAAAAAGATGAGTTAAAATCTCAACACAAAAGTCCATAACATGACCAATAACATGATTTGCATGTATAAACATGTTCAAGCACATTTTAAAGTGCACCTTGTCAGTGATCTATATAACCCTAGTTTTTCGACTTCAGTACGATGCTGACTTGATTCACAGAACAAATATTCTGCTCTCATGCTCACTCTAAAATTAGAAGAAAAAAAACAAACACTGTAATATTAGATTGTGTCAGTGAAATGTGACTGGTCATTTCTTGATCAGTTTAAAGAGCAATTATTTGTTTTCTGCTCATCGCTATTATGTCTGTCACTAAAAGTTCAGCAGGGAATAGAATTAGCTTTCTGCGTTCTTGCTGCTTTTGACACCTTAATGAAAATAAGAGGGGGAGAACAACAATGCTGGTTATTATAGCCCAATGCAGACCAAATAAAATGCTAGAAATATCTTGTCTTTACAAATACGTGATATAATGTTAGTTGACAACATCCCATTTAGTAGCGTGAAGACAGGTTTGTTGGGTGACAGCTAATTATGCTGCTAATTATGAACACAACACTTATAGAGACAGAAATGATGACACAGTATCCCAAAACGTCACACTGCGGGATGGTGGTGCCTGTGACTATATAACCTGTTATTTCAGCTGAATTAACGGTAGTGTATGTGTTTGTTCAGTCAGTTTCTTAGTACGCTTTATAAAACTGATGTGAAAGAGACTTAAAACATATTGGTGGTGAACTGTGTTAAATAATTCATGTTTCATAGAACCCATTAGAGAACAGAGACATTTTATTGTAAGATAAATAGGATGGTCATTCTGCTGAATATAATACAATATGAAGCACAGTCATTTGATTCTACTGACCTCGGTCAGGCCATATTAATCTTCCAAAAATGAAAACTGTTTGGGACAGTTGTACAGTCCAATAGCATGTATTGTCTTAAGGTCCTATATCATGTCCAATTAAACAAGTGTTTTTGTCAAAGTAATTTACTTAAAACCCCATTTAACCCTTTCCCTCACATCATTTAATTTACGAAACATTAAATATGGCGTCTATCTTGGCTAAGGTCTGCAGCATAGTCAAAGACTCTGAAATGAAAAGTGTTTATTCCAGTGCCAACTCTACATATGTTTACGCTCAAAACATTGTTTAAATTCCTCATTATGATTGATGCAAAGAATGGATGAATGTTTCTAAATCTAAATGATGTGATTATTCTAAAAAAATCTGTGTCTAAGATGATCTGTGCTTGATAATAACGTTTTATCAAAAAGTAGTTATGGTGACAGTAACTTTGGTGTTAGGTATCTTGATTGCCTTGAATCGTGATGTGGAGAAATACTGAAGTTAGACTGTTATCATGAGTTTGGATATTTTGTTCACTATTGCTACAATATAGATGTGCAAGCGTTCACTAACATGGCATAGTCATTGTAAACAGCAGATAGAGCCATGGAGTGATAATATAGTATATTTATATATATTTATAATTCAGTTCACACATTTCAATATATACTGTACAATATACAATGTCCCCTCTCAAATTAAATTAATCAAAACTCTTTTAAATCAATTAAGATAAAGAGGCTGTGGTACCCAATTAGGAGCTTAGACAACCACTTCCATCCCATTGAAATTAGATTTTCCTTTGTAAACAGGTGCAGCTTTATGCAGAGCACAAAATAAAATATTTAATTTAGGGATGCACCGATACCGATACTGGTATCGGTATCGGGCCCGATACTGGCCTCCTGTACTCGTACTCGTACTCGTTAAAATGCCCCGATACCAAACGCCGATACCACACAGCATGTGATAAGCGCCATATTCAGACAAAGAAACACTGACAACAGACAGCAGAAAGGAGTTATGGATGTCTACTACGAAGTATATGTATGCAATAAATATAATGTTAAACATTCAGTATTAACACCTGTATAGCTGATGTGCGCGAGCTGATAAACAAAGCACGCTGAGTGGATTGAGCGCGCGGCGGCGCAGATGCGCGAGCTTGCCGAGTGAATATACCGTTCTCACAGACATCATTGGAAAGTTTATAGTTCGGTCGGATATGTCAAAGACAAGTAAGTAAAACAATGCACAAGTTACTTAACGGTAGGGAGAGAGACAGAGAGGTTTCTGTACCCAATATTTAAAAAATTTACAAATGTAATAAAAATATAGGTATCGGCATCGGTATCGGCAAGTACCAAAAATAAAAGTATCGGTATCGGGCGAGTACTGGAAAAAGTGGTATCGGTGCATCCCTAATTTAATTCACTTTTAAGACAAGGAGGAAATACAGTGTATCTGTTCACACTTTGACAGGCGCCAAAAACTACTAAGAGCTCAAAACAAGGCCCTTGAAATGCCTGTTAGGCCTCTGTTTGCTTGAGCATTGGAGAAGTTGAATTCTGCCATGTAATACCAAAACAGGTATTGTACGTAATGTAAAGCTATTTCACACTGGTAAGGTGGGCAGTTTTTTTTTGTTCTCCCAAGAGAAACTTAGGCATAGAAAATGAGCTCTGGAATTTGGCCACCTTGCACTCCTGTGCCGTTGGTACTGTCTGAAGAGCACTGAAACTGGAAGGTTACCTTCCCACACTGAACTTCTGTCATACCCTCTTGTCCAAAATAACTCAGTTCATTTCCGTCAAGAACCACACTGGCCGTATAGAAAGTGTCAGGCTCAATCTGAACCGGATACTCGAACCAAACTGGGAAGGTGTTGCTGGATCCACCTGAAAAGTACTTGCTAAGATTGGTTCCCAGGACAACTCCTTGCCGTTTGAGCTCGATTTTAGCGGTATACTCAGCAGATCCGCAGCTTGAGCCATAGAGCCCGAAACCAGCGATAAACACTCGTTTATCAACAGCAAACTGAATGCTGTCACAGCGTCCGCGATAACGCCACTGGTTGCTGCGGTAGGCGCACGACTGGAAGCGATGACACTTCTGTGGTGTCAATCCCTTACGAGGTTGGCAGACGAACTGCAGCTCGGGTTTCTTAGCTGCCGTGTACCATAAGAAAATGTCATTGGTCTCGTTTAGTGTTAACACTCCTGATTGTGCAGCACCGTTCGCGAAATCATCAAGACCCATGGTTGGGATACGGATCAGGTAGACGGCTTGGCCCAATACTTTGCGTTTGTTGTCGATAGTTGTGTTCATTTCCCTCCGCTGACATTCGGCCTCCGCCCAGCTTAGTGCTGCTTCAAACACTACAATCTCCTTAGCGTTCAGAGTCTCCCGTCTGAGGATGCACTCCAAGGTCTGAGTGTCAATGTCACAAAAGCCCTCGGATTTAAGTGCCAGCTCAGCCTGAGCGTCAATGACTTCCCAGCAGCGTTGCGTTAGGTCTGGCTCTTCAAACAGACAGCTCTGAGATAGAAGAATACATGCATTCTTCGCACTCAAACTTGTTTCCAAGAAGTTGACACAAGCCCGAGCCAGGTGCGGGACTATGTACTTTTTGGCTGCATATAATGTTGCCAGTACAGTGTCAGCACTCAAGTCAATTTCATCACAGTAAATGTACCTGAGAAACAGAAAAAAAATCAAGGTTAGCTGTGTCATACATCATCTGCAGTAGTCATTCAAAATGGATGTATTCCTTTAGGATGCATTGTAGCCTGCTATTACTGGCCCAGCTAGAAGCTACTATTTTATGGCGTGCTACCAGCATGAACCACAATGTGTTTTTGGTCCACATAAGTCAAAGCTGTACTGGAAATGGAAATACTATCTTTTGCAACACGTCTTGATGACAAAAAGCACTATTCTGACAATAGCCGTAACTTTGTGGAATAGGAATGAACTTGGCCTTTGATTGTGTCCTTGAGAACAGATGTTAGGCTAAATTCATCATACTATGATGCATTGTGCAGATCTACTGCAAATCTAATACTATGTCCTGTAATGCATTCTGGACTAGAAGTCATAGCCTATATAGAAGCAGCATAATGGACACAATGTTCAAAGGGTGTGTTCTGCAAACAGAAACAAAGTATATAAATTTACACTTCTTTAGGAGAGTGGGGGAGGAGGGATGAAAGACTCAGAGGGAGAGGGAACAAATCTCTCGAGATGGAGGGAGTGAGAGATGAGCCAGCACTAAAGAGAGAGTGGAGAACACAGAAGGACTCTCAAGAGAGATGGGTAAGTATGAGTTAAGATCTATCAGATCTTCTGTCATGGTCCTAAGCCCTCTGAGAGGCGGACAAGCTAAGCTCACTTCATTATTTATATTCTTCTTGTTTAAAGGTACAATAGGAGATCTTGGAAAATGCTAACTTTAACCTGATAGCACTGAAAGCGAACGTCCCACCCTCCCTGCAATCGCCGTCCAAAGCCACGCCCCCTGAACGCATTTACACTCACAGACCAGAGACAACATTACTACAATAGGCTACATCAGGTTCCCAATTCCAGCCCATGTTCCGAAGTGAAGTAAACTTCAACGGATTTCCCCTGCTCAGGGAATAGGGAGCAAAGAACACTGTGTAGGGATCATTAGACCACTTAACTTAATGATTGCTATCGGGATGTGAAGAGACTTTCAACCAGCATAACAAAAAATGTTTCTGAAGACAATCACCTATTGCACCTTTAAGCTAGAGTTCTATTCAGCATTTAAGCATCTAGTGCCATTAGTGTTCAGAGTATAAAATACTTTGGGAATGAGCCACAGCAATTCTGGAGATACAGAAACAACCCACTTTGCGACACTCTGTGACTCTAGTGTGTGGCACTAAAAGTGTGCTTGGTTTTATCTGAAACAGATAAATCTGAAATCTGGCAAACTTTTATTACAATGGTTGTTGTACATATCGCGGCAGCTTAGAAATGAAATGTCCAATGAGTGGCACTAAAAGGTTAGTGCTCTATTGCATTTAGAAATAATATACTGCCTACGCTATACCCTACATTAACCTAATCGACAGTGTTAACAAAAGCAAACGTGATATAAAAATGCAAATTCAGTTTGCTTCAACAAGTCTTTTTTTCAAGACCAGCTAGGCCAGCTGATAGCCAACTTGACCAGGGGTGCATTTCCCAAAAGCATTATTATTAGCTAACTATGGTTGTAAGTTCCATTGAACTCAATTGACCCTTTGCAAAGACCTGTCCCCCTTCGTTACTGTTGCTATGTCGAAAAGCCATGGCGCTCTCATACCACACATCATGTTCTCAAAGTGAAAAATACATTGCGGAGCAGAGAGGACTTGACAACGTGTAGACAGACAAGACAGAGCAGGTTTCTTTTGGTATGAAACAAAGTCTCAGATTATAAATTTTGTCTTTTTTTAAAAGAAATTCAAATAATAAATACAGTTTTGCGGCTCTTTAATGCATCGTGACAGATCACTGTAGCGCCTCAGTTCAAGCGGCACATGAACCAATCATCTCTTCCTGTTTACTAGTTATAGCACAAAATAAAGATAAATGAACATCAGAAGGTATCTTGTTTTAACTGCAAAAAAAAAAAAAAAGACTTTTTCAAGTTCAAGTCCACCAACGTTAACCTACTCTCCTGTCTGGTTTGTTTGTTGGACAAAATGGCAGATTTGGCATTATGATTTGTCAGATCGCCTGTCAATCAAACTCCCGGCGAAGGGTCAATTGGTAACAACAGAACTTGCGACCACATTTGTTTTTGGGAAACGCACTCCAGGCTAGAAGACCAACTTAAACCAGCTTAGGGTTTTTCAGCAGAGATAAGGGGAAGTTAACGAAGAATGAATTGTGCCCAGTGATACCGTTTATGGGCACATGCTTTGTGCATGTTTAGCATCTGATTCACTAAAAGAAATTATGCAAATCAGTTAACAGGGCAAACACACTGTACATTAGCACCTGATTAAACTTAATTGTGTGTGGTTAGAAATAAGATGCAAGTTTTGTTCTATAAGTGGTGCAAATTTTTTGTGAATTTGCCCCATGAAGTCATGCTGGGTAGTTTTGAATTTAAATTATCTGAATTGAGCACTCCATTCAAAATGACATTTAAGAAGTCAAATGAAACTATTTGATATCTTCAGTGTATTCAGATGAAGCTAATTGCACAGTTGATTTCAATCAGAAAAGACTTCTTCCAAAGGCCATATCTCTTAATGGTCTTGAACTGTTGGCTGTAAAGAAATTGCATGTCAGTGTAGTCGATTAACCTTCTGGAAGAAGTCCAAAGAGGGGTACTTAGATCAGAGAGAACTATTTTCTTCACTCCTGCGCTTAAGTGAAAACAATAATAACTAAATAATCTGTACAGAAAGATAATAATGGTTTAACTAGGCAGATGAGGAAAGGGTCAGCCAGCACAGACCTGATGGACAAGGTACAATTACATAAGGAGACTTACTTCAGCATAGCCAGAAAGGCTGGAGGTTCAACATCAGGGATACGGATCTCATCCTTGTCCTCTGCCAACTCTCCATAGAACATGGCATGGAAAACCGAGCTTCCCACAGCAAGGACATACTAATGAAAAAAAAAAATAAAAAGTATACATTTATTTTACATGACTTGCGTTATCAATTATCATAAGGATCAACAGTATCCATCACTTAATTTGAAATAATTTACATGTTAGCACTGAGTTTTAAACATAAAATCAGTGCAACCCTATAAAATCAGCTTTGTATTGAGGGACACATGTGGTGTAGATGGAAAAGCGTTCAATGTGTTCAGCTATTATTTTTCAGTCTCTACTTTTCCAAAGTGACCCATTTGTTATGACTCGACACTGAAGTCATTTTATGTCTCTCCTCGCTTTCACAAAAACACTGATTATTCCCCTCACACTTATCAAAAGAACCTTCCAGGTGGAAGGTGATGGTTTCATGTAATCACCTCTAAATTATAAACAACCCATACAATGACACATTCTTTCTTATAAACCTGAACTAGAAAGGCACAGCTTGCGATCTTTAATTCCTCCCAGTTTGCCCTTCAGGTTTTCTCTCTTCTAAGTCGATTGCATTGTAAAGGTAAAGCTGTTTTAAATTTCAGCTTGATCCCATTCCCCTGGAGTCATTTGAGCGTGAAGCACACACATATTTCACCAACAAAGACCAATGCTTAATTACAACTATAATTTCCCCTTGGGTTTACAAGACACGCGAGTGCCATTCATTTGAATGGCTTTTGCTTTTCCCTCCGAAGCAAAGAATGTTCCACAATGGTGTGAATGTGGTTGCTAGAGCTAAAAGTTATCTCGCTGATGCTAATGGGTGCACGTAGCTAATGATGAAATCAGAGGCCAACACAGCATTGCAGATGCATTATATAACATGAGCAGAATGTGAATAATTACAATTCATTTTAGCATTACACTCACATAGAAGCTTTTTTTCTATTTAGCAAACTTAATTTTGGCCTTTTAAGTAAAGGTGTGTTCTTCTCCTCCAGGATCCCTTATGTGAAAAGCCCATAACAAATATATTGTAACTAAGAGGAACATCAAATAAATGGTGAGAGTCATTTTGCAAAGCGCTCATATGCAAGGAAGCCTTTCCTAGAAGCAAACATAACCTTCTCAAATAAAAATGATAATGCATATTTGAACGCCAGCCAAATGGACATCATAAAAAGTGCTCTGTAATAACTCTTCATGGCCCATTGCAGTATTGGCTGTGGCCATGCAGCAAAGCAATACAATGCCCTTGCCTAAGTGTGCTTTATAAAGCGTCACATATCAGATGAACACAGCTTTCAATTCTGCCCCGTTAAATGGATAAAAGATGAGTCATACCTGAGTTGTTAGGCACCAGATTAGCCCTGTCTTTTTAAATAAATTCTGAGAGTGAAACAAGAACTGGTTTAAATAGGGTTTTGGTGCAGTTAAAATTGGCCTGAGGTTAGAAAAAAATAATGTCATATATATTATTGCCAATCTAATGGCCCACATGAAAATTTTTGAATAAAAGCAATTGGAAAGCTGCTAGTCTCGAAGAGGTCACAGTGGAAGATCTCTTAAGGGATTTTACTTAGTCGAGATCAGTTAGATCATGGGTCTTCAAACTTATTACGTGGAGAATATTTAATTCACTTTAAATATTGAATGCATTTGCATAGTGATTTGTCAACAAATTCTGCTCCAAATAAATATTTTATTTATTTATTCATTGGCTGTCAAAATGAAAAAAATAGTCATGATTAATCTCATGATTTAATATTTAATAATAATGTTAAATTAAAATATAAAAATGTAAACAGCTTAAATGTATACATGTAGCTTTAATTAATTATTTTATTTATTTATTTTTCTCTGAAATTTTCCATGGAATCCCTAGACTAGAATTTAATAACCAGATAGATGACTACACCAATATTACAATAAGACATGCAGTTGAAAATTTAATTTGAAAAATTAGATGATTCAAATGTATTTTGTGTGGTCAAATTCTAATGAAGTTTCATTTTACCAAGGACCAATTAAGCAGTTTATTGAGAAAAACCTTTAGGAGATACATTGACTGTATGAACAAATATCAGAACTTTATTCACATATTCATAAATGCTTTTGTACTGTTTAAGAAATTCGACCGCAAACTGTGATTAATTAATACAACAAAAACCCAGCATGAATATAAGCAAAAGACTCTTTATCAAAAGACAGACATCTCCCCCACTGCCTTCTGCCTGATTTTCATCAATAATTGAGGAGTGTCTCAGAAAGGCACATGGCCAGCTACACTGAAAACAACAGAAATAATTTAGCTGTCATTAGCAACAGCAGTGAAGCTCAACGCTTCCGAAAATCCTAAAGCTGTTCTCTGGTACCGCTGAGGTTACTGCGTAGTGCTGATCAGGAGGTCTTACCTTGTGTCCCGGGAGTCTCTCAGTTCCTCCGGACTGACCGACGACAAAGCGAACGTCAGCCATCAGTTCATTATTAAACATCACAGCATTTCTGCAGAGAAGATTCAGGAGAGTGATTTTAGACTAAAACACTTGAGAAACATTCCTACTTGACTGTATAGAAGAGATGAATCCATGTTTCTGTAGACTTTCCATCAGATATAAAGAAAGGATCATACAACTTTAAATAAAGAGAAGCTATCAACTCTTATTCTATTTGGAAACAGAAAATCTAACCTTGTTCATTTTCAAAACAAAACAATTCTTCATTTTAACAGTACTTCAAGTACAAAATTGTTACACATGTCTTTCTCAGGAAAATCCCTGGCTCCTGTCAATGGAAGTCCACAATGGCATCTTCCTCAAGTATTATTGGGGTCCAGGCCACATAGGAGCAGTAGGTAAACAAGGAACGCTGTTGCAGAGTGACTACAAAGCCAGGTCTGAGAGCGCACATTTGTTTTGGCCAGCATGGGGCTTTCCCATGACAACTAAGTAAATATTACCGTTTGACAGAGAGCAAAGCCATGCATATAAAACAAAACTTGTTCCTTTCTTTTGCCTCTTCTGGGACAATACATACAGGGCAGAGCAAAGAACGACAACTACACAAATGGACATTTTAACATTTCAGAACATTCTCAAACAGTCTCAGAGATGTTAAATAACGTTCCAGTTCCAACGACATTCAACGCCAAATCCTGAACCTACTTAACCCTGAGAAGTATGCACATTTGCTTCCAAATATTTAGTGAGTTTCAAAAGTCTGAATCCACTAGTGAAAATGCTCCAGTTTAATAAATAGTTTAAATTATCAATAAAGTATTTTTAAAATAATTAATACATTTATTATTGATAATAAATTATTTTATAAGCATAACAATGTTTGAAAAGCTCCAAAAGTTATCCAGCATGATTTGAGAACATGACCATCTGAAAGTTCACATGATCATTGTCACAAATGTGCTTTTTTGATTAGAAATTAATTAGAAGTAGTTTAGAATATTAGTTCAATTAAATTTTCAAAAACCTAAAATTCCACATTTTCAGGTGTATATGTGCTCTTAAACGTTTAGATTCCACTGTATCAGCTGTCACAGTATAAATGCTCAGTATAAATGTACCAATCTCTCGTCTCCCTCTCTGAAAACATCTAAAGTTGACATACCTCTCCCTGATCGTGGTGTACAGACCCTGCCAGTTGCAGCATTGGATAGTGTTGTTGTTGTTCAAGTTCTGCTGCTGGTACTGCTGCACCGTGGCGACCGATGCCGGCTTCTTAGTGGGGAAGATCTCCGCTGCCATCTTCTTCTTCTTTTTGGTTTTCAAGGTGATGATCTCATAACACACAGGAGGCAGCTTGGATGAGCTGCTGGGACTCCCCTTTTTGGAGCCTTTACTGGACTTGCTCTTAACTGACTCTGGAAGCATCAACAAGAACGTCAGACATTTCATGTTCCTTCCCTTGGCATCCACCATGAGTGTGTTCACCTGCAGAGCAGTGGAAAAGCATGCAGAGAAGATGTTGGGAAGGAAAGGAAGGATCTGAGAAAGGTGACGACTTGTGGAGAGGGTGAGGAGCCCCCAAAAGCAGAGTAATTAACTGAAACACAGAAGAAAAAGGAAAGAAAGAAGGAAAAATCCACTCCTAATCTTCACCTTCTGAAAGCACCTTCTGAAAACTGTCAGGGAATATAAGCTCCTTCTTCCACCAGAAGATTAAAGTCAATACGGCGACTGACTTTTCTGTCCTTTGCTTCTAGTTTGATCTGCTGGTGGAAAGCAGAGATGAGTCTCCATAACTGTGCTGCTAGATAAACGTCCTTCTTTAAATGTCTTCTCTCTCTCCTTCAGTATCTGTGACAGTCCCAGATTTAATGCTCCTGCAGTGGTTCAGAAGCAGCTAGTCCACGCTGTCTCTCTTTCTCTCTCTCTCTCCTCCTGACACTCTGACACACACACACACAAACACGGAGCTCTGCAGGATTTGCTTGCCATGGACCTGCGCTCTGACGTGTGTTTTGCTGACTGTGGGGGCTGAATGGACGGATGGAGCGGAGAGCGTAACCCCCTACCGATGGAAGCCAGACATCCCCCACAGTCCATCCAATAAGCACTCTCGAGAGTCG